TCTTATTTCTGACCCGGACAATTTTAGGGGTCTACATTTATCACGCCTCAGGGCACGTTCTGCTACAAGGTAATGCCTTTTAGATTAAAAAATGCTTAGGCTACCTACCATTGGGCCATGGTAACTTTGTTCCATGATATGATCCATAAGGAGGTTGAATTCTACGTAGATGACATGATTGTAAAGTCAAAAAGCGAGTATGATCACCTCATCCATTTAAAGAAATTGTTTAGTCACCAACGAAAGTACCAATTGAAGTTGAATCTTGCCAAATGTACCTTCGTTGTTCGGTCTAGAAAACTCCTTAGATTCATCATTAGTGAAAAAGGGATAGAGGTAGACCCAAATAAGGTAAAAGCCATCATAGAAATGCCTTCCCCTAAGACAGAAAAGGAAGTTAGAGGTTTGTTGGGGAGGGTAAACTACACAGGCTGATTCATATCTTAGTTAACTGATACTTGTGCACCCATTTTCAAGCTACTCTAAAAGAACCATTCGACGAAATGGAATGAAGAATATCAACAGGCCTTCGATAGGATTAAATAATATTTGATAAATCCACCAGTTTTGGTACCTCCTATCGAGGGAAAACCTCTAATCGTGTATCTCACAATGCTTAAGGACTCCATGGGATGTGTGCTAGGACAAAAATATGACACTAAGAGCCAAGAAAAGGCCATATATTATCTGAGCAAGAAATTCACCAACTACAAAACACGATATTTTCCCTTCAAGAAAACCTATTGTGTTTTGATGTGGGTCGCCCAACGGCTAAGACAGTACATGCTAAGGCATACCACCTTGTTGGTATCTAGAATGAATCCCATCAAATATCTATTCGAGAAACCTATACTCACTAGAAAGGTTACCAGATGGCAAGTGTTATTATCCGAATATGTCATCATTTACATCACTCAAAAGGAAATCAAAGGCAGGGCCTTTACAAATTACCTAACACATGGGCTAACAAACGAATATCATTCGTTGCAAGACAAGTTCCTTGATGAAGAAGTCCTAGCCTTGGTCAATGAAAATGATGGACAAGCTGATGGCGCAACCTGGACCATGTTCTTTGACAATGCCTCAAATTTGATGGGACATGGGATAGACGCCATTCTAATGTCATCCCGAGGAAAGCACATTCTAGTGACAACAAGACTGGACTTTGATTGCACAAACAATATGACTGAATGTGAAGCTTTCATATTAGGTCTTCAGGTCACTCTTGACAATGTTATCACAAAACTAGAAGTCTATGACGATTCTACCTTGGTATTATACTAGTTGAAGGAAGAATGGGAGACTAGGGACTCGAAGTTGATCCTATATTGGGAATATTTCAAAATTCTAGTGCCACAATTCAAGTCTATCACTTTTTAACATACCCTAAGGGAAGGAAACCAATTGGTAGATGCTCTAGCTACACTATCCTCCATGTTCACTATAAAAGAGGAAAATGAAATGCCTGTCATCAGGATCTAACGTCATGAAAAACAAGCTTTCTGCTTAACAATGGATGAAGAAACTGATGGTCGTTCATGGTATTTCAACATCAAGAAAAATATTGAAGAAAGGAAATATTCGACCGATGCATCTGATAATGATAAGAAAATGATCAGACATAGAGCCATATGGTTTTCATCACATGGGGGAATCCTTTTTAAAAAATAGATTCGATTCAATCTTGTTAAGATGTGTTGACGATAAAGAAGCACTTTTTGATGATATATTGAGTGAATTCCGAAAATGTTCAGTAAATTCTCTCTTCTAAAAGTCATTAACCTCTTTGATATTCATCCAATTCTCCTATCCTCTTCAAACAAAAGTGTGGTGAGGATTGAAGTGGCTTATCTCTCTTCTAAGGAGTGGCGCCTCTGTTAGAAAAGAATGGCTCAATCCAAGAGGGGGTTGAATTGGATTCTATGACACTTTAAAAGTTTTCAAAGTTCTTAGGATCTTTATATCAATTCAAACTTTTCTAATATGAATTTTCAAAGAAGTTTCTTAAAGACTTGTTAATGAAGAATGAATCCTATATGCTTTCTTGATTAATCATTAATAAGATTCAAAGTTAGGAGCAATCAATATGCAATACTTTGATTCAGTCTAAAACAATCTTGTGCATACAAAAATGTAACAAGATATTACTCAAAGTAAAAGATAAGGGTAAGAGAAGATTGCACAAGTCTTTTATCCTGGTTCAGCCACTCCACATGTGACCTACATCCAGTCCTCAATCATAACCTGATCAAGATTTGTTCCACTATCTTAATGAAGAAGTTTTACAAGCATACCACACATGCATACACTCCTACATTCAAGATAACCACTTTCTTGACCCCAAGAAAGCACCCCTTGTAGAAACTCACTACAAGAATTCCTTACCACTTGAGAAAATTACTCAAGATTTACAATTATTCACAAAGAATTAAGGAACAAATTCACCTGGAATTCAGAAGCAAATCTTAATCTTTTCTCTTTTCAAGAATGTGATGATGGTGATGATCTCAAAGCATTTCAAAAACTTTTTTCTTCTTGGTTTCACAAAGAAAACATTCCAAGAAGGTCACAAAGACTTCACAATCACGTTTTTCTCTTTTTAATTCTTTCTGTTCTGAAGTTTCAAAATGGTCAAACTATTTATAAGTTTTTCAGAACCAGATAATCGATTATTTCAAAGAATAATCGATTATTTTGTTCTTCATGATTTCTAGAAATCAACCAAGAACAATTTAATCAATTATTTTGTAGGATAATCGATTATTCCAGAGAGTGATTCCTGGGATAATCGATTATTTCACAAATGATCAATTATTGCAGCAAGGTATCCTTTTTACCTGTTGCTGGAATAATCGATTATATTTATTGATAATCGATTATTTTGAGTTAGTTTTCAAAACTCTGTTTTATGTCTCAAAATAACTTCTTAAGCTTCAAACTCATCATCATACTCACTCCTAATCAGATTAGATAAAGATTAGCTCATGCACAAAGCATACACATGAAAAATAAGCTTCAATAAAATAATACAACTTATAAGCTACTCCTATTACACAACATAATAGCCACATTTTTCTTGACTTTGTTTTTCACTTTTTGATGTCCTTGGTCATCTTTGTTCCACACTTTGTTATCATCAAAACCTTCATTCTCCAGATGTAAGTTGATTCACCACTATGAATCTCAAAAATCTCCCCCTTTTTGATGATGACAACCATACAAGCCAAGCCATTTTGTTTTGCCACATTACACAACATTTCAAATCCTGCAAAACAACTTATACAACCTTTCTCCCCCTTTGGACATCATCAAAAACAAACTAATATATGTATGTCTAGAATACACATGTATGAGCTTTATGCATAACCCTTATTTCTCAAAATCAATGCCACAAGACTGATTCAAGCATAACAGAGGCATTGTTCCAGCCAATTAATACCAAAAGTTTTGTGAACTTTGATCACAATTTCTAAACCATAAGCATCATATGATCAGCAACAAAAACATTAATTTGTCAACCAAAATCACAATGTGCAGTACATTATCACATTTCAAAGTCCAAAAACACTATCAAATATGCCAACAAAGATCAAAGACCACATATCAATGTTCAAAAATAGAACATTGCTCCATCAATCATCCATAACAGAATTATCAAATCATTCCAAACACAATATATCAACAATTAAACTTCACATTTGCAACATAATTTAAATTGTTCAACAGAATAAACCAAGACAATCGTTCGAAAATTAAATGAAATTACAACCTAATTGAAAATAGAAATTTAAAACTTCCTAATTCAAAAATAGAAAACTAAATCTCTCCGAGTCTTCAGGCATCCCAAGTTGAGCCTTAATTCGGTTAATCTCATGATCAAGGTTATCAAACCGATCAAGAATACCCGAATAGATTGACTCGTGCCTCCTAGACATCTCCATGACTGCATCAAGCTTATTAATCATAATATGGTCGAATGGAGAGAATGCTTTAGGCTCTGCTTCTTGTTCTCTATCAGGTTCAACTTTGACCTGCGGTGGCTAATCTTCATCATGAGATGGAACACCGTCCTCATCAGTTGCCGGTTCAGGGGTTGGAGGGACATCTCCCTTGAATACCCATTTGTCTTTCTGTTTCAGCATCCCTATATGATGCAAGGAAGATTTTTCAATCTTATTAGAGGCATGGAGAATAATCTTTTTCTCCCCTTTCAAATCCACCCCTACTTTCTCAAAAATTTTAGACAGTAATAAAGCATATGGAATTGGACCGTCCTCTTTCCTCCTAGCCTTCCACATACAGTCGTTCACCACAAACACCCAATCAATCTTAATCTTCTTTTTGATAACATGCATCAGCAAAATGTCATCCCTTGACATTTGAACATGATTATGCAAACGGGGCTTAAGCATCCAAGCTATAATAAAAGAAATTAAACGGGAATTTTTCTTCATACCTCCCGCCAGAAATTTGGTGTAGTTGGTGTTCTCCGGGTTCCTCTGACAGTCTCTGAAGGTTGTCAGCTCCTCAAAATCACCAAAGTTGAAGGGTTAGGGTTTTTTACTCCCATCTCCACTCAGCCCAGCAACTTCCTTTAACGTTGGACCATCAAGCTTTATGAGCTTCCCTTCACAACCGATTGCATTATCCCTTCATTGCTTGAGGAAAAGCATAAGAACAGCCTTATAAGCTCAGAGTAATAGGGTCCTTCCAGTTCCAAAAACTTCCCAAGTTCTTGGTGCTCTAACAGAGTAGGAAAGCTAAACCCCTCGTTCTTGAACCAGTCCAACTTCAAGGTCTTGGGAGGGATGATTCTTCTAACTGCATACCATTCAAAATAGTAATCTTGGGTTTTCTCATCAACGAACCATTTTGAAATGAGTTGCTCCGTGGGTAGAGGACGTTTGCTCCCCTTCACTTCTAGCTTCTTTGGTGATGGAAACTTGCTTGGAGAATCCGGATTGATGTGAATCCTCTTCAAGTTCTTCCCTAGATCTTCGGCTACTTGATCCTTCCTAAGTTTGGCTAAGGTCTCCTATGGAGGAGGAGGCCTTAGAACCACCAAGGTTTGGTGGAGAACTCCCCCAAGAGGCGCCACCCCTTGATGAAGAGTTAAGCCTCTTCAATTCTCGCCACACTCTTCTAGTGAAGGGATAAGAGAATTGGATGAATATCAAAGAGGTTTAGGGACTTTTAGAAGAGAGAAATCTGAACAATATTTCAGAAATGAAATCTCAATACATCCAAAAGTGTCTTACAAGGTAAGGTTTACAAGTATATAGGAGTAGGAAGTTAAGAGAGCAAGCTAGCCTTGACCATGGTTAACTAGAAACCATGGTTGAGTCTAGCTAAACCGTCCAAGT